AATTACGCTTTCGAAACGGTCTGTTTTGCCCTGCCATCATTAGCTGAAGCTGTGTGTGAACAAGAAGCGGCTGTAGACAAGAGTGTGAGTTGCTCCGTCTCTCACGCAGCCAGAGAGAGATTCTCCAGTGTTCCGCAACAACGCTTAGCTGCCCGCAGATTTGCAGCACAGTCGGCCAATGCCGATTAATTAAAAAATGCTAATTAAATGCTTAATTTTACATTTTTAAAATGCCAAAAATCTCTATTGAGTACGTTTACATGGACAGGAATATTCTAAAAGCAACTCACACCATAATCATAATATTGGCTTATTTAGAATAAGGTAAATAATTAGATTACTGATGTCCATGTAAATGTAGTCATTGATGCACGTAGGGAGCGAAGGCTCACCCGTGTGGTCCGATCCAACAGACAAGCTACTATAGCTCAAATTGCTCAAGAAGTTAATGCTGGTTCTGATGGAAAGGTGTCAGAATACACCGTGCATCGCAGTTTGTTGTGTATGGGGCTGCATAGCCCATGCTGACCCCTGTCCATTGCCGAAAGCGCCAGCAGTGGGCACGTGAGCATCATCACGTGGTGGTTTCACTTACCTTGGGAACACATGGCACCAGGATGCACTATGGGAAGAAGGCAAGCCGGCGGAGGCAGTGTGATGCTTTGGGCAATGTTCTGCTGGGAAACCTTGGGTCCTGCCATCCATGTGGAAGCTTCTTTGACATGTACCACCTACCTAAGCATTGTTGCAGAACATGTACACCCTTTCATGGAAACGGTGGAGTTTGAGGTGTTGACTTGGCCTCCAAATTCCCCAGATCTCAATCCAATTGAGCATCTGTGGGATGTGCTGAACAAATAAGTCTGATCCATGGATCCACTGTACGCATACCCTAGCGTACATGTAAAAACCTTGGGCTTAAAGCCAGAATTTTAGTCCAGAGTACAACCTTAAAAAACAAAACATCCAGTTTTTCTGTAGTAGAAAAACTTCAACTATTTAAAGTGCAGAATATATGTTTATTAGAGTGGTGGACTCTGGTAGAGGCAACATTCAGCAAGGTCATGTCACTAATTTTGAAGAATTCCCTTACCTCCAAAAACCTAGTTTAACCCCTGCACGTAAGGTGATTAATCATATCTGTATGTGTTATTCTCTAGGCACACTGAAGAGAAGAAGAAATCCCGCTGCACAGACCCAGCCACAGCACCATCGCCAGCAGAGAGAGAACTATCAGATGGGCCAGATGCAACACTGAGAAGTTCTCCTCATTGCCTTGGTTCTTCCTAGTGCCTACAGTGGGAAACACTTCACTCCAAAGAGTTAGCTGAATCAATCAATGAAGCCCCATTAACAAACTAAGAAACTGGCAAATAAAAGGACTTCAAAGGACTATACTTAAGAAAACAACAGTTTTAAAGATTAAGAAACCACTGCTCTGGGAGTCAGCAAAGCTTTCGTTGCGTAGCTCAGAGAAAAAATTCAGAAGCTAGTCACGAGGAAGAGGACAGAATCAATTAATCAATTTTTTTTCTGCTTTTCATATTTTTTCTCAAGTTATTAAACCATTATTTTTCCCTCTTATGCCTTTTTATCTTTTTTTTTTATATTATCTTCTTTTTTGGGATTGCCACCCTCCTGTGGAGATAAGCATGATGGGATGTCACATAAATATTTCTGCCAATCAACAATGGCTGAGAGAACTCTTTAAAGAGACTCGTTTTCCAATATGTAATTAAGATGTTTTTTTTTTTTTAAACGCAAGCAAAAGGATTAAAAAGCCTTTATTTCTGAAGCTTTCTCATTGTCTCCTGCGTGCAATTGTACAGAGATCACAAAATACATTGGATCTTTTTCAGTCGTCATTTTTTTTATTCTGTTGGATAATGACAATTAAGGATATTTAACTGACACTCAGGATATAATAGGAAATAATCCTATTAATAGGGTTAATAGAATTTCTATTGGTGAAAGGCCTTTGCTGAAATTTGTGCAGAGCACCCCACCCCCCGCTGATAAATAACCACTAAATAGCTGCAGTTCTTCATTCCATGTGGCCAAGGGAGTTAATGAGAGAGGTGATGGTTAAAAAAGATATGTCACTCTTATAAGAATCCTGATCTGCTGAGAGTCACTGTTACTTTATGTTCAGTCAGTAACACTGGTCCCACAGGAGACAGACTTGAGAAAATAAGCACATCAGGAAAGATTTGGTTTTTCAATACATAAAAGGTCTTTATTTTGCAATAGGATGTCGGAAACAGGAAAGTGTGGACAGTTACACAAATGAGTAAATCTCGGTAGTGTGCATTCGTGAAAGGATGGGATAGAGAGAGAGATGATAGAAGCAATCTGTAGATCCTTTAGAGTGTTTTTACACACCAATCAATATTTATACAAAGGAACTTTTCTTAACAGTTTTCAGTTATTACCTCTTTTAATAGCTAAAAAAAGAAAAGATCCAAACTAGCAGCCTATATAATCAAAGCATATGCCTTGTGTTGCTATTTAGTGTATCTGAACCAGCCCATGGTAATTTCACCATATCACTGCAGTCCAACATCTTTTTTTGAAAGAAATCCTTCCATTTTCTCTAAATGTGCTTTTGATTGTCTTATGTGTGTGTCTCAACAAAGGCAAGAGGGTTGCAAATAATTCATGCATCACAAATGTCCTTTTTTAAATTTCTCTTTTTTTGCTTTTTTTGTATTTCACCAGACCAGGAATATTTTGTCATCTATATAATTTTGTTGAATGGGATCCTGGTAGTGCGACTGAGAGTCCGATGTTTCTAAAGTCTGTCTTCCCAAGCAACCTTGCATCCTTTAAGGATGTGCATTTAAAACATGGATGATTTGCTTATTCCTAGAAGAGGAGTATTCCCGACTATAAGTCCTCCTTTTGATCTAAATCATCACCTCATTTGTGTGTCTCTGTAAATGTTAATGGGAAAAGGGTTTTTAGTGAGCTTAACTTTACTGCTCTGACTGCAATTGGCTTCAAATTAATTAATAATTTCTGTTATTCTGTGGTAAATGGGTTTGGTTGAATTTGTAAGGGGATTTGGCCTAGGATTTAATTTTAATTTTTTTTCAATTTTTTTTGCTTGTCTTGCTTTAAGTTTATAAATAATGTGCACTGATATGTAAGCATGGTGTGTGGATAGAATATGAAGAACAAGATGGAGAAAATGTCTAATACTACTGTTTGATTGTAATGCCCGCTGTGTTTTATACAGTATCTTTTTCTTTTTTCTTTTTCTTTTTTTCTTTTTGCTTTATTTGTTGTTTTTTCTTCTCTTTGCGCTCACTTTTGAACATTTTTACTAAATACTTTGCAAAAAGTAGTGTGCGATAACTTGTAATTTTTTTAAGTACTTGAAATGCATTAATAAAATAGCCTTGATCAAATCTCCTTTCACTGTTTGGTAAAATATGTCCATGTGTTGAATTAAATTGTATTAATTGCCTGTATGTTCTACAAATCTACACTAATGCATTATTTTTTTTTTTATTAGTTTATTGCATATTGTAACAGTATATTTCAAGAGCACCACTGATTAAGTATTCAGCAAGACATCACAGTAAGTGATGTATCCTGTGTCTACTTTTTACATTAGCCAGGGGTGGACTGGCTATAAATTGTCCTCTGAGCAATAATAACATTGAGTTAAAAACTAATATAGCTAAATATATTTCTGGATGTGTGCTAATTAAAAGAAAGCATCTATATTGTAGTACCATAGAAATATGACTTGAAAATGGTCTAGTCACACATTTTCCCCTATGTTAGGTCAGGATTTGAACCCAGTAACTTTTCAAACTGAACAAACAACAAGCTGCACTGTGGTCATGTCAGCTCACTAAGGGCACCTAAATAAATAATAAATATGCATGATGTATGTGATGTTACCTCCCTGTTTCATTACTACGTTATCATGAGGTGATTTCATGAGACATTTATTCAGACAATTAACAACACATTGGACACAAGTACACACCACATACATTTTATTAAAGGCTGGACTACATTGAACACACAAATGCACAGATGTTTGCTTGAAGGTTGAGCTTTTACATTGTCTCGTAATTGTTATAAATTATCTGTAATGGGACAATATTCAGTCAGTTTTGGGAGACTAATAAGAGTCATAAGCTATTTCAGAAATAAAAAGGCAAAGATGGTAGCTCTTAATACTGTTCAAGTGCTACATGTACCAAGAAAGTTGTTACGCGATTTCTCCCCTGCCCCTGCGGAGGTCTGTGCATGCCACTGGTTTCATAGGGATGCAGGGTACGTTGGGATCTGAGGCTGGACTAATGATATTCTTATGTTTCGCTTGTTAGCAAACCATTGACTGATGGTCCAGTCTGTCCCTTGTGATGTGGGCTTTTTTCCCCAAGTACTCTGTGGTTGGACTCCCCCACCCCCTTAGGGGTTTTAAGTAGATGGTCTACCTCCCCTTACCCCTGAAGCTTTTAAGTGGGAGGTCCCCCTGGGCCCAGCATTCTGCTTTGGCTCGCTGTAACATAGCCTTCTGAGGATAGTTGTGTTTTTAACTTAATGGAGTATCCCTCCTGATTGGTCGGGTTCCCCCATTATTCCCAGGTTATGTTAGTAGCCTCAGGCGTCAGTGGCTTGCCCCCTTTCTGAGGGAAGGTTCAGTGTATGTCTGTAGCTTCCCTTGGTGCTCTCTCACCAGGCAAACACAGGCATGTGCTGTGCTGTGCTGTGGCATGGCTGAGTGGGCATTCTGTTCCCCATAGTGTCCGCTAGAGGACGCAGCGTCTTGTTCCCTCTCGGGGAAGCATGGTTACATGCGTAACCCGAGATGTTAGCCGTGCTTCATTATCCTCTGCTTCTGCTGCTGCTTCTCTCTCTTCTTTTCACAGCGAACACCTTCTCCTGCGACGGCTCAATATACATGCCATCATCTGTCTGTGGGCAAAACGCAGTTCTGACAAGAAAAGAGACTGTTATGAGCTTCAGCCTAGGTAGTAATGATTTTTTTTTTATTTATTTATTTGTTCTTACTTCATTTCAAAAAAGCCTATCCATGTCCTGCAATGTCCACTAGAGGTCGTTGGAATAACAAAACATGAAATGGAAGCTTGACAATGTTAAGAAAACAGTTAGAAGCTTTTTGGTGTCTGCTTTAAAAATTAATTATTTGTGTTATTTCTGTATTTCTCTACTTAACAGTAGTTGAGATATGGTCTTGTCTGCATAGTGCATACATATTATCATGCCTGCTTCTGATGTATTGCATTAGTTTTTCATCTTATTTTTTTATCTATTCATCTTGTCCATTTGTTTAAAAACTGGTATACTGAGGCATTAAAGATCATTTAGATCATTAAATGCTGAATCCAGGCTCTTAATCTTTAGTCTTACCTTACCCTTTACCTTACCTTACCTTAACCTTTTATTTCTATGTGAGTGTGCAGTTGATTCCTTATGAATCTGTAGTGATCTGCTTTTAACACTTCCATCATCTGTGATGGCAACCTGTCATCTGTGTTCTCTCACACTTACTTCCTCTGGGTCTCTCCTGCTTTCACTGTGATCTTCCCCACAGTGAGCTGTGGTCCTCTGCTACTTTTGGCCCAAGGTATCATGGTCTTAAGCATGCTCCACATCTTTGCCCACATGGGGCTTCCCTCCCAGGTGAAGCACATTATCATCAGGTCACCGATGTCAGTATCCAGAGTGATGAGGAACGTAAAGTCTTGTTACCTGAAATCTCCTCAACTCTGAGAAAGATGGAGGAAGAATTAAGTGATTGTTCAGGTATACCTCATTCAATTTTTAGATTCCTATAATAAACAACAATTTGGTGAAAAAGCACTGTTAGCCTGCATGAGTAATTGTGTGTGCATGCTTTTGTTCGAGATGCTATTTTAGTCCATTGCATACTTCCCTGCAGTTTTATGCTCTCTGTTTCATGTTCTCATGTTCATTCATTCGTGTGAAATGAGGTATTCTGATGAGAGCTCTCTGTGTGCTGACTAAAGTGATTTCCCCTTGAAGCGGAGCATGTTACTTTGTGCTTTTAGAGCCCAGAACATAAAACTTTGATGTTTTTCGTCCCAAATGTTATCAAGCAGTCTTTCATTAAAGAATCTTTGGCTTACTGTTAAATCAAGAGCTCTGCTACTGTCACATTTATTTAAGCTTTTACTTGTGAACCAACCATACTCATGAATTGTACTAATTGTACATTTATTTTAACGTATGTTCTTGTAATTATACACTACCAAATGGATGTATTGTTTACATAGGCTTTATTTTGGTTATAGCAGATGATGATTAACAGCAAAAAGCTTTTTAAATGGCAGAAACCACAAATGTATCCATATGATTATATGGATGATGATGAGAAAATCATTACAAAGCGCATTAAGGTGATGTTCTCAAGATTCAGCTGCTGATATCAATGTAAATTGCATACTTACAGTGTTATGGGTACATTTTCACTTTCTCCCAGTTGTCCCGGTTAGAGAGACTGTGAGGGTGGGCTCGATCTTATCAGTTTGGTTGATGAACTGGATCCTGATTTGATAGTGAAACACTAATGGGGAAGGAAAGTGATGGTAGATTAGAACGGATTATATTTTTCCAAAAACAACTGGAAAACAATCAAATACAAGTAATCACAAACATTAATTGCACAAAAAATGTATTCTTAAGCAGTAACTGTCTTTAGTTTTGCTTCCCAATAAAATGTCTAAACATACTTAAAATCTTTATACATACTTAAAACATTTTTTGAAGAAAACAAAAAATGTTATTTAAAAAGTATTTCCCTATATGTGTGTGCATTTTTTTGCTATTAAAAATATTTGGATTAGGGAGAGCAGTTTAACAGCTAGAGGACATCATCTCCCTTTATACATAACAGTAGGAATTGACTGCTTTACACTTTTTTTGAGTTGTTATAGCTTTTTCTCACATTTATATGGCATGTGTGAGCGGGTTTTGAGAAACGGTCTCTTGCTTGTGCCAGTGCGGACTTTCTTGATGTCATAACCCAAAGTGTCACAGCGGTTCTTTCGGCAGTCCAGACAGTAGCCTTTTTCGAAAGCTGTGTTGTCACTGCACTTGTAGGCCATAATCTGCTTGTCTTTGTTCAACAGGGAGTCAATGAAGAGATGCACAGTGCGCTCATGGGCACATTTCACTGTCTGCTCAAAACCTAAAGTTAGATGGACACAACATAAGACTAATAAACAGTAAATAATCATAGATTCACTCGTTTAGCTTACCACATTTGTCTGTCTAGATTCACTGTGGTGAGTTAGAAGTGATGGTAATGCTCGGCTAAATTGTGATGTCATGTACACACGATGGTTCAAATGTTTTGGGTCAGTTAGATTTTTGTGTTTTGAAAGAAATTAATACATTTATTCAGCAAGGACACATGAAATTTCATCAAAAAGTTCATCAGATTCATCAAAAGTGACAGTAAAACATTTATAATGTTAGAAAAGAGTTCTATTTGAAATAAATTCTGTTCTTTTGAACTTTTTATTCATCAAAGAATCCTGATGCATCATGATTTCCACAAACATGTTAAGCACCACAATCATTTTATTATTAATAATAAGCCATTAATAAGAAGACATGATTCTTGAGCACCCAGTCAGAATATTAGAATGATTTCTGAAGGATCATGTGACACTGAAGACCGGAGTAATGAGGCTGAAAACTCCGCTTTGCCTTTACGGGAATAAATTACATTTTAAATATATTGAAATAGAAAAGTGTTAGGCCTATTTCAAATTGTAGTAATTCACAATATTACTGTTTTACTGTATTTTTTTTTAATCTATCAAATGCAGCCTGGGTTAACATAAGAGCCTTCTTAAAAAAAGAAAAATACTGACCTCAAACTTTTGAAAAAAGGACATTTAATTATCTGTCTTTCCCCTATTAATTTGTACAGTTACAGTTGTCCCACCCTTGCAGTGCGCCTGTCAGAGTCATGGACTCATCAGTGTGTAGTTGTTAAAAACAAGGATTTCGGGTCTGTCTTTCTGCTTCGATTTTTCCCATAGGGATTTTTAATTGCCTGAAGGCATATCTCAGTAGGAGAGTGGAACAGAACAGGGATTTGAAATAATTAAGTTGTCAGGATGACAGCTGCTTTTATGTGTCTATGCCTTTCATCTGGAAAGCTGTCGTTATTGTTTA